AAAACAGGGTTGCTGGAAGCCACCTTTCTTTGGGGGGGTGGGGCACATCAGGAGCCTGATGAAATCCCCTTCTTCGCCACCTTTCTCCCCTCTCCTTCTCCCAGTGCTGTGAGTAACCCTGGGACTGACAGGCTGACTCGTGAACCAAGACATTTGACCAGGGAGGTCCCTGGGACTCTCGGCAGGAGGAAGAGGAGAAACAGCTTTTCCCGGGACTGTTCTGAGCTTCAGGATTGATTCCAGGCAGGTCTTTCTCAACCCTGCCAGGAGGTCCCAGAAGCTGGATCCGGCTTCTGGCCTGCAGAGCGTCCTCCGCAGGCAGCCGTGGCTGTTCCTCCCCGACCTTACGCAGCGGGGATCGTTTCGGGCTCTGCAACCTCAGCCCTCTTGCTACGGTTCCCAAGGGAGCGGCCATAATCTTCGTAACTGTTGCGGCTGGTGGCCCTCTGATGGGGTGGAATGATGGACGTTGTAGTCCTGTGCATCCGCAGGACACCCAGTTGGGAGAGGCCCTTCCTGAGAACCAAAAAACAGAGCTGAATCCTAGTCCTGCTTATGAGCAATACTCACTCCCACCTTCCATCTGTGCCCCTTTTTCCGGTTTGGGCTGGGGGTGGGGGCTCCGCTGCAGACTCCTTGGGCTCCCAGCTTTCCACTCAGGTATATATTCCAACAGCCTGTGATTCCTAAGACGAGTTTCATTCTTCTGCGCACTCATCCTCGTTCTTTTCCGTGCCAAAGGGTTGTCACCACATCAGACTCCCTAAGTAGGAAGTTCAGTTGGGACCTGCTGTACGTAAGACAGGTAGTCTTGCATTATGACTGGACTTTCCGCCATAAGGACAGGCAGTTTCCCTTAGAAAGCGCCCCGCTAAGCTGCTTTCAGCTCCAGTTCCAGATGGAAACGAAGAAGGTGAGCCATTAAAAGTTGCCTTCACTCCCACGGAAGCAAAAGAATAAATTAATAGAGGCCCTCAGGCACCTTACCTGGAAGGCTTGCGTTCTCAGGGCCCGCCTGGGACTGAGGATTTTCCCCCATCCCACCCCCACCGTTAAATCAAGGCTAGCCTGCGGCCTCCACCAGTTGGATCTTGATTCCTGCTTGGAGATCTGGAGACCCTGAATGACGACTGGGAATCTCTAGGGTTTTCACTCATGAGTTTCACTCATGACCCACTTTTCAGGTCCCAACGAGCTTGCTCGCTGCTGTGGAAGTGGGTGGCATTTTGCAGAAAAGCCTGTGGGTTTTGCACCTTTTCGTCCTTGCAACACTAGCTCAGATTTTGAGCTGGTGTAGTTAACGTTTAAATATCTGTCCCCTCCAGCATCTGTTTTCATCTGTCAAGGGACCCAAGAATATTTTGAGTATATCAAATCTTTTCAGTCTGCTAATTGGCTTCAGTTATAAACAAGGCTTGCATGCTAACAAAAACTATATTAATATAGAGCTCCATGTCCAGATATGAAAGGAAGTAAAAGGCTGGTTTGTAATTGAATAATTGCTGACAGTCACTTTTAGAAGGAAAGAGTGCCCCTAATTGGTTGTTTTTTAGACTATATTACGGTAGCAAATCAGGCTCAAAGTAGCTTTAAGAAGAACAGCAGATTTTAAAGATATCTGCCTTGATTTGGAATTATAATTTTCGGTGATCTGGTTGTCAATTTTAACTGCAGCTCCTTGGCCCTCCCTTCTGTTTAAAGGCAAGATATAGATCAAATTCCTAGTTGTCCGTTCATAGCTCCCCCATTACTTGTTCAGCTGGGATGACTGAGAAAAAAATCAGGAGGAGTCTGGTAGCCCCTTTTCTGATGAATAAATATTCTTAAAAGGCACAGCTCCCACGAAGGGGAAAGATGCCTCCGCAGATTAACCCGTCTCTCCTCCCACAACGTGATGGCTCAAGCAAAGGGACGTTTGCTTTGAAGATCCTGGCCTAGAATTTTTTCCCCAAGAAAACGTCCAAACTCTTCAGTGCAAAAGATGATCAGCCTGGGCTTGCTTACACATTTAGCTGAACAGGCCTGGTAAACAATCTCTCCGTGCAAGAAAAGGCATTTCCTTTGGCTCCCGAGAGTAAACTCGAGTGCGTTTTTGGCTTCCCAGCCATCCTGTTTCATGTGCCACGGCGATCGGACGTTCGGATGTTGGAAGTGGTCTCAATGCGGAGAGGTGGCCTTCCAGTGGTGTGGCCCTTGAGGCATTGGGGACACTGGGGTCCCCAGCTCTTGGCTCCCCCTCGGGCTGCAGGGCCTGTTCTGGCTGGGGGGTGACAGAGGGGGACGAGGGGCGAGGGAGTCCCACCCGTCTGGGGGCTGGAGGGGGTTTTATTTACAAGCTCTGGCAGGATAAATGTTGCACTTGGGCTGGGGCTAAGGATGGGGTGGAGGGTGCCATCACCAAGTGAACTGGAAATGGCTAACTTTGTAGGCAGCGGTGGTTGAAATAACTCTTCCTTTGCTCTGCGCCCCCATCCCCGAAAGCCCAGGCCGAAAAGGAAATAATTTATGTCCGAGTTCCCTTTAATTTAACTGGTGCATCTGTGCGCACTATGACACGTCCTGGGGATTGCATCAATTACTGCTGATTTTCCTCTTTGCCTTCTTCCCTTGCCTATTGGAGCTTAAAAAAATTTTTTTCATGACACCGGGGTGTTTTTGCACCAAAAGGACGCTCTGTTCTGTTTTGCTGGGCATCTGTTAATGCTGCACGCCGGCCTCTTTATCTCTTCCAACCAAACACGTTGGTTCCCTTCTTTTCTACAAGCCTCGTTTTCTGGGATTCTCTTTTGAGGAACTTCTGCAAAAGTGGATGGTTCTTATTGGACCCAGCGAAAATTAATTTCTGTCTTTCCTTTCCTTTCCTTTCCTTTCCTTTCCTTTCCTTTCCTTTCCTTTCCTTTCCTTTCCTTTCCTTTCTCCATGCTATTTGAGGGCTCCTTTTCAACACAAATGCAGAGTGGGTGGTGCAAACGATTAGGGGATGAATGAGGATTAAGGAGGGGGCTGGTCATGGCGAGGGCAGAGATGTCAGATGGGCATCAAAAATCCCCCTGTTCAGTTGCATCACACGTCCTTTCCCAATTCCAGCAGTTGAGTATTTTGGCTTGGAAAAAACCAGGAACCGCTTTGCTTGGAGGGCAGCAGGCGAGGCAAAGTGCCTCTGCCAGGAGACTGGCTGGTGACGACCCCTCCCCAGAGCCACGGACCCCCGGATGTCCGGATTTGAACTAGGGGTGCTTTGACCAGCAGCTGCAAAGCCTTGTGAAATATTCGGTTAGATCTGATTAATTTCAGACAGTGACCGGCACAAGAGCCTTGAGGGAAATGTTGAATATTTTGTGGCACGTAGGCCAGCCCCTCCTCCCCACATTTAGAAATATGTCTGTAGAGTTGTTTTTGCACTAATTATATGGCTCTAGCTATGCAGCAAAATGGATGCAGGGAGCGCGATAGGTTTTGAACGCAATACGCACAACAAGGAGCACACGGCCAGCAACCGGCAAAGGAGAGCGAGGAAGCCGAGCTGTTGGCTCTCTGCTTGCCTGGAATTTTACTTGAATTAGCGTCTAAAGATGCGATTCACTTCCTTGCCTAAAACTGGCTTTATATACTCCTAAGTGAGCCCTGCTATTTACTTGCAAGCAGAAAAAGAGCATAGAAAGAACAGCGCCAAGAGAGCTACTTCTTCCCTGAGGCACTAGATTTCTGCCTACAGGGTTTTCAAAAGACATGAATTCCAAGGAACATTCAGAAACGTTCTCCACGAATAATCTAAGGCGCCAGCCTCTCCTGCCATCTCATTCTGCTTCACGCATAGCCTCGGCGCCTTTGTTTTGCGTTAACCGTTTTGCGTTATCTCTGTTCAGGCCGGCCGGGAGCTCGGTGAAAAAAAACCTTGCTTCTTTGCTGGGGTCCTCGGCGCGAGTGTTTCTCCAGGCCTGCGTGGTTTGTCTGCGGGGGTCCCGCATCAGCTGCCCTGCCAGCAAACAGCAGACAGGATCAACAAATGTGGCAACGTCCTGAGTTTGTTTGGATTTTGCTTCTTTTCCCTTCATGTTAAAAGACATTTTTCAGATCAGTTTTTCCAGCCAGAAGATTTGCCAAATCTGTTGGGAGCAAGTGACGGGAAACAAACCAGGAGTGTATGTAACTTGTAGACGGAATGGCTTTTTCTTGCCTTCCCCACTGAAGCTGCTCCCCCCGCATGAGCTAACCAATCCGGGCCCCCCCATTTCCCCCCAGCTGTTGTTGCAGTTGGCTCCAAACTGCAAACCGGCTGTGACTCATTGGCCCGCAAACCCCAGGAGGAGGCGAAGCCTGGACTGAACGTATCCTGACGCAGACAGAGAGCAGAAGTGGGTGAGCCCCAGGGAGACCAGGAAGCTGGGAAGTTGGGGGGGCAGCCCCCCTTTACGGGCTGGAGGGACTCAGCTGCCCCCTCGCTCCAGCCTGGGACTGCCGAGTTTCCCAAAAGCTGAACATTGAAACGATCCCGCGCGGTATTAATAGGTTTGTGGCAGCAGGTTTGTGTTCCTGCGCCGTTGACACCCATAGTGGGTTTTCCTGGTGCGACAACTGGCAGCGCGAGACAGGCCCTGTCCTTCAAGGATTGCAGGGGCTGAATCCCCCACGGAGGGTTGGGCTCTTTGTAGGATTGGGATTTGGGATTTGGCCTCAGATGCCCCCTCGGCCGGACGCCAAGGGAGTCGGCCAGGCACGGGCCAGGCTGCTTCCTTGGTCTCGATTTCCACCCCACCCAGCTTTTCCCAGTTCAGCCGGGCCAGTCCTTAAGTTTGTTTCATGCAGAGACAAAAGGTGGAAGGTAAATAAAAGTAGGTCTGGACACACAGAGCATCAGACGCGTTGGAGAAAATCAATCTTAAAAACGGCTTTTAGCCATCTGCAGAGTGGCTTTCCTGAGAACTCTGTGTTGACAGAAACGCTCAAGATGCCAGACGCTGGACACTCAAGAGCGATTTTCCAGCCCCGGTTTTAATCTGGGCTCCCTGATTGCCCCGGTCCCGTTCTCTTCCTTTGCTCTCTTTTTGGGAGCAAGACATGGATCTTGCTCCTCTTTCGGGGGGGGGTGGCCTCCCTCCCTGAGAGATTTCACAGCTGTTGGAGTCCGAAGAGCCTCCCGCAGCGGCTGCTGCTGTGACATTGATCTGAACCGGCAAGGCGAGCCTTCCCTGCCCCGATGATGTGGGTGATGCTCTGCCAGGAGGGGGCCTGGCTGGGGTGGGCGGGGGGCCCTGCTGGCCATCTCCTGCGCACCACGGCCAGCCCTGGCCGGCACGCTGGGTCCCCTCCCTGGCAGCTTGTTCAACGCCCGTGAATCACGCTGCCCCTCAAAGCCAAGAGGAGCGTGCCAGGCTCCCTTCTGCGGAAAAATCCAAGGGCTGGCTGTCAAGCCAGGACTGGAAACGGTCTGTCTGGAAAATCCATGGCGCGGCTGGATTCCTACTTCCACTGAATTCCCTCTGGGGCCGTGGCGTCATTGGCGCTGGGGAAGGCCTAAAGTCAAGCCTGAAGCGTCCGAGGAAGAGGAACTGGCCCGAGCTGGTCTCTCTCTTCTGTGGTGGTTTCGGTCTTCTTCTTTCGTGGGGCTGCAGTGCCCGAGTCAAATCTTGGACCCCCAAGGAGGTTAGAGGGACCTGCCAGCTCTCGATCACACACCCTCTTGGCTGTGTTAACCAGCCAGAGGACTGTCGAGTTACTTGGCATGGAGTTTTGTCTGTACTGCTTCCAATTCTGCACTACTCGAGAGCTGAACCGGGTCGGATGTTTCATTCCACGCCCCGAAAGTCTCCACTAAAAATAGGCCTTGAAAAGCGAAGGTAGCAGCCCTGGTTGCTGCAAATCTAGGGGTCCCAGGAGATCTCAAAATAGCCGGAGTCGGCGAGTGGCGTAAGAGGATTGTATGCGGCCAAAGAGCAGGATATCAGGGTGGAGCAAAATTAGAATGAATTCCTTTGGGGTCGTCAGTCCGTGCGTTTGGCAGAATTGGGAGGGTCCAGGCATCAAATGCTACCCTGGCCCACCTTTTTTGATTAAGAGCCCATGGCTGGCTGGGGAATTCTGGGAGTTCCACTCATCTTCACGGTGCCAAGGTTGAGAAACACCGAGTTAACCCATCAGGGATTGGGAGCAAGGCGTTTCTTAAAACGCTCCTGTGCTTGTGAACGGCACAGCTGTTTGTCCCTGAGAAGCCAAGGCAGTGGATCAGCTGGAGCGTGGAGACAGCTGGAATTTGGGGAGGAGTGTAAGCTAAGGCTAGCAACTCCCTGTGGATTATGCTCAGCTCCTAGTTGCACAAACCCTGCGGATTGCCATTGCCCGCTTCAAGGATATTCTTTTAAGTTTCCCCTGCACCCCACGGACCAGGAATGGTGCCTTCCAGCCAAGTGTCAAGCAGGCTCTACCCTGCTTAGTTTCCAGGCCTGGAAAAGGGTGGCAGACACCCAAGGAGCGTGCAGAGTCAGGGCTGGGAATAAGCGGATGTTTTGTCCATCTGAAGTTGTCCCAGCCCTCTTGCCATCCTCCTGGTTGCTGGGGTACCTCTTTCCCTCCGGCCCCTGCACTCCACAGAACCGTCTTGGCTGGAGGTCAGAGAGCCCGAAAGGGGCCACTGCTGCTGTCTAGATCCAGGGAAGACGAACACGTTGAGAGCCCCATCCGCGTTTCCCCTTTGCAGTCAGGAGCGTTCATCCCATACCGAGCCCTCTCGGTGCAGCAGGCAGTTTCGGAATTAGCCTCAGTCCTTCATGCTAAAGCTTGACCTTGTTTAGGGTTTTCCAAATGCGCTATGCAATTCCTGGGGATTATGTGTCCTATAATGTTCTGGATTCTCACCTGTCCACTTCAGCACAGTTGAGGCGTGCTCGAGATGGAGACAAGATTCAAATCTGTGACTTCCTTGGTCTTCTAGCTACCCAGACACAGGCTGGGATCTAGGAATTCTTACCCAGGAATCCGAGTTTGTCCTGAAGGGCGAGATTCCTCTTCCGATGTGCTGCAGCAGCTGTCCCAGGTTGTGTGTGTGTTCGCCTGCCCGTGCCCCGAGGGTCCTTTTCACTCTGCGCTTCCCCCTTACCCTCAGTGTGGCAAGTTCCGGAGGGCGGCTTCTGTTGGGAGTCCCTTCGGCCGAGCCAAGTTGCATTTGATCCGAGAAAGGGTGGCAGAGAAACCTGATCAAGGGCCTCTTCTTAGCAAGATGAACCCTTTTGCTGCGTGCTGGTTTTGTGGCCAAAAAAAAGACCAAAGGAGGACAGGGTGGATTGAGAGCCGAGAGCGCACTTCACGTAGCTTACATCTGCCCAAAATTACACTGAAAAGAGCATTGCGCTGATGTCCGTCAGAGGATGCAGGCGGCGATGGCTTTACGGCCCTGCCGCGTTCCGAGAGCCCGTAGCTGGCTGGAGAGGTGATGGGTTCCTTCTCCCGGGTGCCAGGCTATCACCAGGTCTCACTCTGGCTTGTTCTTCCCCTCTCTTGGCAGAGCGCGAGGCCCAAACTGCAGTCCCCTTGCTCGGCGATCCAAGAGGCCCGGGCGTGCACCCGGCTGGAGATGCCCGACCACCTACACACCTTCGTGGTTAAGGTGAGGAGCTTCCTCCCCACGGCTGCCTCCAGGCCATCAGGGCCCCTCCCCACCCGGTGCTCCGGGGCGCCTTCTGGACGGCCATGCCCAGAGGCAGGATTTCTCTCCAGAAAGCAGAAGGGCTGCTGTGGTGCAGGTGGGAGGGGCAGGGAGCCGATGGAGCCCAAAAGCAGCAGCCGTGACACGGGATGTGTTTTCCGACCCGCGTGGTTCTGGGTGCCCGGCTGAAGGCCAACCTCATCCAGCTGGGTTCCCAAAGGGCCTCGGGGCGGATTCTCCCTCAAGAGAGCAGAAAGGTGGTCCTGGGGAGGGGGAGACCCCCAGAGAACTAGTTCCACCCCCATTTTATCTGGTTTGCTCTCTGCAGCGGGATTAATGCCTGACTTCCCCCCTCCCCAAATCCTGCCACGTAGGTGAACGTGTCCACAGAAATCATATTCGAGGCCGGGGATGACCAGCAGCTGGCCGCTTGGATAGCCGAGATTCAGCAGCGCCTCCCCAGGTGAGTCGTCCTCAGCATGCACGGCTTTTCCAGCCAGGCTTTCAAAAGCAGCCTTCTCAGCACGCACGAAACCTCTGGCGGCAGTGAGGTTGAAGTGGCTTTCCAAACGGGTGAGGCTTCTAGGACTCGATAACTCTCCAAATAAACCACGCTGACCATGGACAGGAGGTTTTTGGGTGCCAGGGCTTTGTTTTATGGTCCAGCAGAGCCAGGGTGGCCTAGGAATCCACCTTAGACCCAAAGTTTTGCTCATCTTGGCTCAGCCACAAAGATTTCGTTGGGGTTTTCGGCTACTTTGCTCTTTTGAAGTCTTACTAGGGCAGTGTTTCCCAACCTAGTTAACTTCTAGACATGTGGACTTCAAGTCCCAGAATTCTCAGCAATGACCATGTGCCAGGGGAATTCTGGGAGTTCAAGTCCACCCATCTGAGAGTTGCCAAGGTTGGGAAAGGCTGTACTAGGGTGTTCTGAGGAGACACCGGGCCAAGGAGCCACCTTATTATTATACTCAGCATTATCAAAGACCTGGTGCCACTCTGCAGCAGGGAGGAAATGCACTCTTAGCATGCTCAGAGTCTCTCTTGTTGGTTCTTGTTTCATATGCTGATCCCAGGCTGAGACTTGGTATAATTGGCCCCTGGACAGATTGGAAGACGCAAGAAAAATGTAGGGTTTATTTCAAGCTTTTTATCAACACTCCATGAGGACTAGCCCCCTCTTTCCTTAAGCAAAAGGGGTGCTGGGGCGGGGACAAGACCCATCAGGGGCTAATGGCCTGATGTCACGAAAGCTTCCCAACGTCCGCTCAAGCAACTTTCCCTTTGCCCTGAACCTGGAGTCTGTAAAAGAGCTGACCAAAATGGGAGCAGCAGCTCTGGGCCTGGAGCAGCGTAGTAACTATGCAGCGAGATCAACCTGAGGCTTATGATCAGGGTCTAGAGTCACTTTGACGTCAGGTGGGTGGCTGTATAAGTGCGATAAATAAATAAATACAAGGTGCCTGGCCTGCATGTAGGTGAAGCTGCCCTGGAGAGCCTCTGCCAACAGAGCTTTGCCCCCAGACCTCAGCAAAGGCCCCATGCCAGCCCTGCCTTCTGGGGTCTAATTTCTAGCAAAGGTGGAAGGGCGGTTTGCAGCCTTCTGGGTCCTGCTGCCTGGGACCCTGGGCTGGAAAGTCCCCAGCACGGTGCGGATGGTGGCCGGTGGTTCGGAAGCACGGTTCGTCGGTAGGGTGGCTTGAGTCTCTGCCCGCCGGCTTCGGATGTTCCCCGGCTCGTTTCTGCCGCAGGAGACTGGCAGCATTTTGGCTGGTGGACAGCTCTGGGCTGGGCCTCTGCATCTTCTCTCCATGGCCAGACCTGATCAAAGGTGGGCCTGCCCCAAGGCTGCCTCTGCCCGGGTGAGATCTAGGAGTCCGAACTGCCGGGGGCTGCCACCCCCCCCCCCCCGGTCC